TCTTTAATAAAAAGTTTTTCTTAAAACAACTAATCAATCAGTGATTACACTTACACAAGTTTTGCATAAAACATAGTTTTTATTTTTAAAAATTCAGTTATTACTTAAAATACCATTTAAAGAAGTAGCAGAGAAGGATTATCTTCTCTACTATAGCTTTCCTTTAGTGGCTTACAAAAAAATGTCATTTTAAAATGTATTTCATTATTGAAACACAGTCTAGTAAATACCACACTGAAACAGAATCTATCTGACATAACAGAATCTATCTACCATAATGTGAGACATATTAAAAACATCTGTGCTTTCAGTTTAACTTTATGGTAAACTTCTCACATTGTGTAACTTGTTCCAATACTCATGTCTTGGGGTCTTTAGCAGTGTTTTATGTGCATATTCTCAGGTATTAACTGTCAAAGGAATGCAGTTGTTTTTTTCCATTTGTGTTCCATGTATAATTTCAGACATTTTCATCTTGGCAAGAAGAAAACTGTTTTCCCAATTGTATGCTGCTTTCTGACTTTCATTGTTAAGAAAGCTCAAAGAGGCTTTTTAGCATTTGTAATATATGAATTTTCTTTAAAGTATTGGCTTAAATAGTATATTACTAAATATGCTGGATATGTTGTGGAGTTTTGCCTTCGTGCTGGGATACCTAGTTTTTAAATGGCTAACTAATTGTAATCAGTTCAGAATATCATCATCTATGAACTCTGATATGCACTTAGGGTAAAGTCAGTAAAAGTAGGTGTAAATTCATATTTAAAACAATGTTCTTTCTAGTTTCAATGATTATGGCCACCTTGTCAGATCTGATTAGTCATTAGTTTTTTACTTGGCAATGTAGCTTCCAAAGGGCATCAGAAATGTCAGCTCAGCCAATTGTGTTTGCCTGTTCTTGCATTATGAACACCATCTCCATTGGTCCATGCTGTAACAATTAGTTTACTTAAATATCATACATAAATCCACTTAGTTAGATATAGAAATTGCACCATGTGGCAATATGTTGAAAGCGAACAAAGGAGAGAGCCCTCCCTTCCTCTATTATGTGCTGCTGTGCTCCCCCCCTCCCCAGAGCCCCCCAGGTGCTTGCCCACTTATGGATCAAGTGGGGTGTTGGTGCCAGTCCTCACATTCAATATGAGTAAAGCTTAATTTATTCCCCTCTTTTTTGGTGAAAAATATATTTGTTTGTACATAGAAATTCAAATACTTTATTCTAAAATTTCAGGGGTCACATTCTGTATCCCACTTTGGAGACCTTTGCTCTAGATAAGTGTTTTAAAATTTTGTTTTTTTTTTGATGTTAGAAATCCCCTCTTTTTTACTGAAAATAAACTTGAAACTCTAATATATTTTTAAAAAATTAGATGACAATAACACTGGTCTGATTGAGATGGGAGAAGGTGGTGCTCAGATCTCTCTAGGCATCCATCTTTCTCCCCAACCTCCTCAGGTGGAAAACTAGTTTCCTTGAAACACAGATGGAAAAATCTTATGCCAACCTTAATTCTTCAGATCTACACTTAGTAACACTTGCTTCCTCTCTAGTCATTAAGGAATCAGCAAAATTTTTAACGGTATATTAATTTCATGATCTGGTATATTAATTTATATTAATATTCATGATCTGGGGATCAGTAATAACTCATTGAGTTACCTCATACATACCTGACATGCATGTGTGGCTACATTTTATCTGGGGATGAGAACATTCATTAGAATGAATATAAAATAGTGGCATTTCAGCTGTGAAAATAGGAAAACTATTGTTCGGGCTAGAGGAGCTTGCTTTCGTTCTCCCCAGTGACCTTGAGATTGGAGGACATAATGATAATTGAATTTGTTACACCCTGGTAAAAGTAAATTTTTTATTAAATGCTACTGAGGGAAACTACAAATACATAAACCAAATAAACATTGTAAATAAAAGGAAAATAATTACAAAAAAGTAGTCAAGATAATTCTGAAAAGAATCTTTAAGATATCAGGAAATGGACCATCTGTGATCTTGCATTAGCCAAGATAAGTAACACTAGCTACTATAATAATTGACCACAAAATGTCTGGCTTAACTCAATAAGGGTCCATTTTCTTACTCATGTCCCAGTACAATGCATCCTGTGAGGCAGCTCTGCTATAACCAGTCCTTCAGGGACCCAGGCCTCCTCCATGCCACAGACCAACAATTTCAAACACATGGCTTCAACATTGACCTGGCTTCATACAATTACGAGAAAGAGGGATAAAAGAGAGTGGAGAAAGCATACTTTTCTTAACTGCTCAGCAGGGATTACATTCTACTGCCAAAAACTAATCATATGGCTCTATCTACATGTAAAAACTTTGGGAAATGTAGTTTAGCTATGGGTCCTGGAAGAGAAGGTGGGTTTGGTGAGCATCTAGCTGAGCTCCATCATATATACAGAGGAATTCCTAATCTATAATTGAGTATCATCAGGTCTGACTTTGGAAATCTCTTGGGAAGTCACTCTCTTTTTTGCTTGTTGTAATAAGGAGGCAACTGCACTCTAGCATGAATTTCAGCTCTTGCCGTTCCCTGAACAAGCCATGATCTTCCATGTCTCTATACCTTTACATGTGATTTGCATATGATGTCTGTCCATTCTTTCTAAAACTCTTTCCCTTTCCTCCTCCCTCCTCTTCTTCCATATCTAACAATTCCTCCTCATCCTTTAAGACCCAAGACAATGTTTACTTCCTCTATGAACTTCTAATGACACACAGGCACAGATCTCTTCTTAATGTTCACTTTTATCCTTGTACTTTGTACCTACCTCTGTTACTGAATGTGTGAGCCTGTATTATAATTATTTAAGGAACCAGTATGTTTTCAAAGGATTGGGTGATTAATATTTACAATATAGTGACCATTAATTATAGACTGAGTTTCTCAAGGGTAACACTTGAGTCTTATATATCTTAATATCTCCCATGCCTGCCTAGCACAGGCCTGGCTCACATAGTAACAGAAGAGAAAAAAATGAATGCTGTCTCTCTTCCTGCCAGTTCCCAATTCCCATCCCCCTTTTTCATATTGTGGCAAAAACATATAAAATGTATCATCTTCACTATTTTTAAGTGTACATTACAGTAGTGTTAACTATATGTATCTTGTTTCAATAGATTTCTAAAACTTCTTTATCTTGCAAAACTGAAACTCTACCCATTGAGCAACTCTCCATTTCTTCCTACCCCCAGTCCCTGGTAACCACCATTCTTTCTGTTTCTAAGAGTTTGACTAGCTTAAATACCTGGTGTAAGTGGAATAATGCAGTATTTGTCTTCTCGTGACCGCCTTACTTCCCACTTAGCATAATGCCCTCAAGATTCATTCATGTTGTAACAGATGACAGGATTTCCTTCCTTTTCAAGTCCAAATGTTTCATTGTAGGTACATACCATATTTTCTTTATCCATTCATCGTTAGTGTCTTTGTTTTTGACCTGTGGTTACTAGAGGGGACTGACAAGAAAATATATTTTCTATTGACCCAAGGGAAAAAGTGATCCTAACCTCTTAAATATTTCAGGATGGCTTATGTTCTAGAGACTAAAAGAGAAATTATACTTAGTGCAAGGGAAACTAGATTTTTTTAAAAATCAGTGACTACAGAATGAATGCCTCTTGTCATACCCTATGAGCATGAGAAACTGTGTTATACTGCTTCCAACTGAGCAGCAAGGGCCCATAATAAAAAGCTGTTCACATTCCAAAGGCCTCTTACCCTAGTCTTCTCACTGCCCTACTCAGTACCTCAGTACCTCTTCAGTACCTCATGCCCTCAAAATAGCTCTTTTGAGAAAAGAAATTTTAAAGTAGGGCAAAATAAATAAGGAAAGGGATAAATAAGAACGCTTTCAACACAGAGCGCTTGTGAGAATTTTTATGTTTATGGAGAAGCTGAGTCCCACAGTAACCTCTGGCCCTTCTTGGTGTTAGCGGATTCCAGTGTTCGTTTGCCTTAAGGTAGTTTGAGGCCCTTTAGAGACCTTCATAACCTTTACTTCAGTGCGTTTTCATGAAAGAATCTGAAGTATCCTTTCATTAGCATGATCGTGATTATTTCAGTTGGTCTAAGGAGCTATTATTAAATATGTAGCCATTATGTGTACTGAAAATCTCCAAGTAAACAAGCATCTAGCTTGTAAACACGTTAAACACCTCACACGTAACTTCTTTTTACAACTATGACAATAAGAACCCCAGCACTTAAAAAAAAAACCCTGCGGTTTTTGGTAAAATATGCCAAATATAGCTTGAAATAGTAAATAATCCCTCAAAAGCGATATTAGCAAATTGGTGTGTGAACAAAGAACCCTTTCTGCACCAGCATGAATGTTGCTTTTATTTTTTTTTCTCACAAGTATGATTTTAGAAAACAGCTGTAGTGCATGTTGACAAATGACAAAGCGGCAGACGTGGTAAAACACTTTCCGTCAAGGCCAAGAGGGGGAAAAAAATTGGGCTGCCGCAGCAGCCCACGGGCCTGAATGCCTAGCTTCCTTAACCTCCTTTTTCCCGGGTCTTTAGGGAGCGGGGGCCTCCCCGCCCCACCCCCCTTTCCCTGGCTCTGGTTACAGCCTTTCGAGTTGAACAAACTTGCCGCAGGCGGATTGGCGATCAGGAGCTCTCAGGCTTGGGCGCTGCATTTATTAATTTATATTCCGCGAGGCCCTCTGCGGGGTGCTCCTTTGTATTTGGCGGCCGCCGCCAGGCCCGGGGGCCCCGGCGGGGAGCGCGCCCCCCGCGTCCGCTCGACCCCCAAGGCCAGCACGTGCTGCGCCCGCCCGCCAGGCCCGCGGAGGGGGCGGAGGCCCCGGCTTTTCTCCTAAGCCACTCTCGGCCAGAAGGAGGAGCAGCAGCAGCAGGAGGCGACAGCTGCCCTGCCCAGGGAGCGCGGCAGAGAGGGGGCTGCAGCGCCCGGGCGCCTGGCCACTCTTGGCGGCGGCGGCGGCGGACGGGGAGGCGGGGAGCGGCGGGCCGCTCGGGATGTTCCCGGGCACTTCCTGACTGGTTGGCAGCGCGCACACGGCCCGAGTCGCACGTCCCCGGCCCCCTTGTCGCTCGCTCGCTCGCGCGGGCCCGCTCTACGTCGGCCGCGCCGCGGTGGAGGCGCGCGAGGGGTACGCGGCCGGGGATGAGCTGATTGCGGGTAAATACGCCGCCGCCTGGCCCCGAGAGGCCGCGAGGAGCCGCTTTTCTCCGAGTCGCCGCCCTGCCCTTGGATTTGAGATCATGTACGTACGCGTCGCGGTCCTGCCATTGTCTCTACCCCAGCGCGTGTCGTGCGCCCCAGCTCGAGGGGCTTTTGCTCATCCTCGCCGCGCGCTGCCCCCCCGCCCTTCTTGTTCGGATTAAAGTGATCCTCGCGCTGACCACGCGCCTCTTCTCCCCCTGGCTCCCTCTCTGTCGTGTAGGTCCATTCACATCGTGGCGCTGGGGAACGAGGGGGACGCGTTTCACCAGGACAATCGGCCGTCGGGGCTCATCCGCACTTACCTGGGGAGAAGCCCGTTGGTCTCGGGGGACGAAAGCAGCTTGTTGCTGAATGCGACCAGTACGGTCGCACGGCCGGTGTTCACCGAGTATCAGGCCAGCGCGTTTGGCAATGTCAAGCTGGTGGTCCACGACTGTCCCGTCTGGGTAAGGGGTGGCAGCCGCTCTGTGCCGAGGCTAACGGAGCTTTCCTTTCATTGTTTTTTTTACCTCCTCTCCCTTTTCCCCCTTTCATGAATGTGGACCGTCCGGGTCACCTGGGTAGAGTTTTTAAACATTTTTGGGGAAATCTTTGTTTTCCTTTGTTTCATTAGGCAGGGGGCAGCCCGGTCAGAGAACCCTCTTAGAAGGCAAAAAGCGCCGGTGGCAACATGGAGCACTTACTCGCACGCTTCACGACTGTAGGTTGTCCCTTGGTAGCTGGCAGTTGAATGTGACAACCCCAAGGGACGGGGTCACTAAGTTTCACCAGCAGAGAGCAATGTTTTTTCATGCCTACCCTGTGGGTGATAGTGTAATATTAGTGTTCTAAAAATAAAGTCCTCTGAAAGCTCAACGCAAGCAAAAATAAATTTCACTGGGACAGTTCAGGAATAGGACCCCTGGAGAGGAGACGAAGAGACAGGGACCGAGAATTAATTTTAAACCACTCATTTATAACACTATCCACCTTTGAAAATTTTAATTAATGTTTTTAATTTTAATAATGCAGATACTCTTGATATATTAGCCGTTTGTTTTCAGTGACTCATAAATCGGAAATAATACTGCTTGGAATTTTCAAAAAGCTTTAAAATTTGCAATAATTAAAAGAAATTGTAATGAAGTCGATAAAATTCTAGTCTGATTCTTGAGTGCTTGATAAAAGGAGAAAGGAATCTACTCTCTGACACATAAATATTTTCAGTATGCAATAATATAATAATGTAATATGCAATAACTAATTAAATGTTTTCATCTAATCTTATTTGGAAATCTCTGATTCTTTACTGGTATTGGAGTTACAATACGATAACTAAAGCTAAAGATTATATTTTGTAACAGAAGATAGCTTGGTGTCTGAAAAAGAATACAAATTATCATTATGTGAGATTTTACGTTTAAAGATCAATTTAAAAAAACCTGTATTATGTGCTATAGGGAATTAATACACCTTTCTAAAGGAATGTATGGAATGTACCTAGAAAAATTACTTATGCAAATTACGGGATGAAGAGATCACTAGCTCAAATAAATTTCTAGTTAAAGGATATTTATGTTAATGGGCTAAAATAAATGAAAAACAGGTTTTTTCAATAACCAGGATGATAGTAAACTCCCATTTATCACAGTGATGATGCCAGTCATAAGAAGGAACTCACTAGCTGAAGTCCGTGCAAGCAAATGAAACACTTTGGCCATTTCATTGTGAATGATCGTACAGTTTAGAAACTTAATGGTTTTACACCCAGTTGAACAAATGTTGAGTGAATAGAGTAAATAAACATAGGGAAAATAAAATAAGCTGAATTAGGATGTTAGGATTACTTTTCCTGTTTCTTCTTCGAGCTGTTAACTCTTTCCTGTTTATGTTGTTAACTTAGCAAAAAATAATACTTGTGATCCCAGGTAGTGTAGTAAATGAAATCTTCCAAAAGGGTTAAAATAAGCCTCTGTAGTCTAGATTTTTGCTCTATACTGATTGTTGTGCTTTATTGTGCTAATCACTTTTTGTTTGTTTAGAGTCTGGTCCTGTTAAAGGCATTGAGTATGGGTACACTTTTTTGGGTTAAAATGATCTTCAAGCATAAGGGAATATATTTGTAGAGCTTCTCTTTATAAGGTGCTTTTCTTGGTGGTAGGTCAAAGTCCATCAAAGATATTCAAGTTGTCTGTATTTATCAGCTGATACTTGACATGTATTGGCAGAATATTCGGTATAGCAAAGCAGATAGAGCACAGGTTTTGATAGCAAAAGGACCTGATTTCAGATCCCCACATTGCTATTTAGTGGTTTTCCTTGGTGAGTCAACTATCTTCTCTTAGCCCTATTTTTCCCTATGTATAAAATAAAAAGACAGACTGCCTCCTAAAGACTCCCTGCCCCCCTGGGGCTGTGCGGAAGAGTAAATGAGATAATACACGTAAAGTTTTTAGGATAGAAGCTGACATGTAGTAGGTACTCAAGGTGGTAGCTACTATAGTAATACAGTGTTCATTACGTTAGTGTAACCATGAATCACTTATACTAAGCAAAAGTAAAGTTTTCCTAAACATCATTCAAGACTTACACAAATACAATACATAGAGGCAGCAGTGCTGGTACTTAGTAGGTGCTGTATTTGCAGCCCCGCTGTCAAGTAGAATAAAATTGTTGTTTTGCTATAAAATTTTAGATTATTTTTAAAGATGAGTTCCATTCTCCCAGTGTGGCTCCAAGTCTTGTGTTGCATAACCTCCTAGAGGAAATCCTGGAACTGATTTACAAGGGGAGGGAGAATTTGATTTCCTTCGTATTTCTAGAAACCAGGGGAGCATTTTCTCTTTGACATAGCTTGTTTAGAAATGTGGTGTTGTTTCCTTGGAATTGGAATGAGATAGTTTGTGCTTCTCTTTTCTAGTTTCTTCTGTAGATCCGTAGCCTCCCTCTGGATCCTTGCTGTATATACTTGGCACTTTCAACATAAATGTGCTTCAGATTCATTTTATGTAGTTCATTATTTGGTATGTCGCTCTCAGACCCACCCTCCTTTTTTTGTGCAGTTATGTTATTTTATTTCTAGATCTTTTCCTGTTTACCAAAAATATTCCACAAAAAGCAGTGAGGTAATACATGTACAATTTCTTGTGCAGGGTTTGAAATTCTGATTTGTGTTAAAAGTAAAATTATTTGTAGTTTTTATATCCTCGATACAACAGTGATAATGATGCCAAAACCCATTTTCTCATGACATTTTCCTCTAAATGTCTCCTTTTCTCCCAGTACACCTCTCCAGTAACTCTGGAATTTGAAACTGTTTGGAATGCAAAGAGCAGTTACTTTTGATTTGTTCTCTCAGAGTTAAATGGCTGTTTAATGTTGGTCCCACCTATGTTTAGTTTTTGTTGTTGTTGTTTTTTATTCCATTCATCTGACTTTGTTCTCTTTCTTTGTTCTACTTGTGTACCCTTGTTAAGCTTGCATACTTTGAGCTTGGATACTATAACAGATACAATTGGAACTGAATGGGTTTGTGGTTTGGGATTTGGAAATTAGCATAGAGCTCTGCTGGGAAGCTTTCACATTTTCTTGATCTGTGTCCCACTTCACTTCTCCCCCCTCTTAGTTCAAGTTCAAGACTTTGCCTTTGATGTTTATATTCCCATAGTTTGCCTATTTTTCTTTTTTGGTCCTTTTAATCTTTCTTTTTAAATGCTCTTGTTTTCAGTAGGGTATTTATATCTAAAAATTCTGCAGTTCTTGTTACTCTGAGTGTACTTGTAGGAAGTGGGTGGGTTGGGCTGGATATAGGGAATTGGGAGAGGCTTTGCTGGACACCATGGAGGTACTGGTGAGAAGCAGCTCTCTTTGCAAAAGGGCATTGCTGTGTAACACTTCTCTAGAATTTTCCATCATACTGTTGAAGCTCTGTCACATGGATCTTGATTGACTGATTCCAGCATTATTACCCTGTTTTGGACTCATATTTCAAAGTGCAAATTTTCATAGCCCAACAGTTTTTGGACCTGTTAGCCACATCTAACTGTTTTCTTAATCTAGCTTTAATATATTCTGGAGATTTATGTCAAAGGCCGCATGAAAGGACAAATAATGATTAATAGTTAACTAGAATATGAGAAGAAACCTACTAATGCATATTTAGCAGTGGTATTAAGATATATATTTTTCTTATGCTACTATTCACATACAAACTTTGAAAAACTACTTCTAAAATACCAAAGCTTTTAAGGAGTAGGCTTCATAATAAATTACTTTTCTCCCTGATTCTAAATATAAATATTATTAACTGTAGTCCAGAAGTGAAAATTTCAAAATTGGAAAGTTTCTTCTGAATTTTTAACTTATATAAGCTAAATACATGAATTGAAAATCTGTTCCTTACCACATTGACACTTTATAATACACAGTATCTTTTTATGAAACATACGTTCCCTACACATACCGGTAGACATGTACGTAGACATGTACGTAGACACGTATACAGATACGGTACTGTCCAAAGGATGGATAAAGTTGGAAAGTATATATAGATTTTTAAAATATGTATACAATATATGGAACTCCACAGATTTCACAATGTATTGCAGTTTAAAACAGTGAACAATCCTGCAGTGTCTAATTGGGTCACAGAAAATCCTTTGAAGCTTCCTTACTCATACTGATGCTATGGCATCTAATGTGTAGTGCTAACATTTTCAAAATTATTAGGTGATAAAAGTAATGGCATAATTTTAAAACAAAGTGCTTATTTTTAAGTATAAATACTGAAAGGGGTTGCTTATTTCATCAGACTCTCAGTAATTCTCTAGATCTGCTTTACAGTACAACTACACTACTGTCTAGGCCAAAAGAATACATAAAAATAGAAGAGTTGGTAGGCTTCAGACATTTTTAATTTTAGGTAGTTACTTATTTGAAAATAAATTCTTTTTATGAATTCCAAAAATTAGACTATAGCAAGAAACGGTATGTGTCCCATTTTATTTCATGACTGATTTGAAGACAAGTAGACTAAGGAGTGCTCTTTGCATTTTGGTTTAGGACATTTTTGACAGTGATTGGTATACCTCTAGAAACCTAATCGGGAGTGCCGACATCATTGTCATCAAATACAACGTAAATGACAAGTTCTCATTCCACGAAGTAAAGGATAATTATATTCCGGTGATAAAAAGGGCATTAAATTCAGTTCCAGTAATCATTGCTGCTGTTGGTACCAGACAAAATGGTAAGTATTTAAATTTTCTTCTTATGATAAGAGTGCAGGTACCATGTTAATTTTAAATAGTGTTAAGTTTATTAATAATTCATATGGTTTTGGGTTTTTTTGGGAAAAAAATGACTGTTCAAATGCCAGCTCTTATCTCTTCATCACTGGATATGATAGTGAGACATCAAAGGAAAGTGTCACAGACGACTGCTGGGATTCTGATGCATACAAATCTATCTTCTAAATTGCTCTTCCGCAGAAGTAGAGGAGGTCGGTGATTGTATTCTTTTGATATAGGAGAGGTATGAGGCTGGCGCTGTGCTCTGGGAGACCCTTTTTGACATTCTAAAAGTCCGTCCAGTTGGAAGGATAGATTGTCCACAGAAGGATTGGGTTTAGGAGCAGGATTTTTAGGTAGCTGGGAACAAGTGATCTGGAGACGCTGATGGCCTGAGAGAGAGGATCATTTACTCCACGGCTGATGGATTCCGTTGGTTCAGTCTGTCCCAGCAGCTGCTGCTGGGCATGTCATTGTCAGACATCCTAGGGCCAACTCAGAATTCGCTTTGGTTTGGTAGTATTTTGATAGTTCTTTTTAGTGGTATTTCCTCAGTGAAGCTGTCTTTAAAATTTTATTCGTTTATTTTTTCCTTTTTTTTAAAAAAATTTTTTTTATTATGTTATGTTAGTCACCATACATTACATCATTAGTTTTGGATGGAGTGTTCCACGATTGATTGTTTGCATATAACACGCAGTGCTCCATTCAGTACATGCCCTCTTTAATACCCGTCACCGGGCTAACCCATCCCCCCACTCCCCTCCCCTCTAGAACCCTCAGTTTGTTTCTCAGAGTCCATAGTCTTTCATGGTTCATCTCCCCCTCCAATTTCCCCCCCTTCATTTTACCCTTCCTACTATCTTTTTTTTTTCCTTTTCATTAAGGTATAGTGAAGTAAAGTACATAAAGTTCCCTAGGTATCTAGGTATCATGGTGCAGCTTAATGCATTTTTACATATATATACATCCATGCATCATCTCACAGGTCAAGATAGAGAACATTTGCTTCACTTTGAAAGCCTCTCATGCCTCTTCCCAGTTACTAGCCCCCTCCCCAGGGATAACCACTCTTCTGACTTCTAACAGTATAGATTAGTTTTACCTATTCTAGAACTTCATATACATGGAATTATACTGTATATAGTATCTTGTGTCTAATTTCAATTAGCAAAATACTGATATTCATCCATGTTGCACTTATCTACAATTTGTTATTTTGCTGTGTATTTTTCAGGTGTGTGAATGTGCTGTAACATATTTATTCATTCTCCTTTTCATGATGCTTAAGTTGCTTCCTAGAAGTAGGAATTTGGGTAAGAGTCATAGGGTAGGCATATGGTTTAGCATTAGAAGACACAAATAAAGCAGACCTGACCCTTCCTTGACCCCACATCCCCTCTACTTCCCTATGTTTCTTTTTATTGCTGGCCTCGATTCTTGAAAGAGTCACCCACACTTCCTGAGTCCACTTCCTGACTTCCCATTTATTCTTCAGTCCACTACAGTCTGACTTTGACTTTCACAATTACATTGGGTTTGTTCTCACTCAGGGTTACCAGTTAAATGCTTATTGCCAAATTTGATTTCCATTTCCATTTAATTTACACTTTATATTTTAGTAACAATTCACCCTTTGAGGTTATTCAAACACATCTCTCCCTCCATTTAAAAAAGCTACTCTTTCTTTCTTGGTTGTTTCAATTCTCTGTCTTCTTACTGGTCAAGACCCCCCCCACACCTACACATATTGAACCAACACATCCTTAGTTGTTGCCCGGGTTCCATCCTTTGGCTTCACCCCTTCTTGCTGTTTGCTCTGACCTTGAAGCTGTTAATCTGTTGCTCTCCCTTCCCATGTATAGACACTGATGAATACCCAGTCTCTTTCTCCCACTCCAGTTTCTCTTCCAGTCCGTATCACCACAGAATCTTCCTCTTTCTGCTGAATTCTCTGTCTTGGTGAATGATACCAAACCTATTCATTCACCCAAACTAGAACCATCCAACCCAACTTTCCTCCCATTCCCCAAATCCAGTGGACTAGGAAGCTCTTTTTTTTTCCATATTTCAAATAAACCTCAAATTCATTGCTTTCTCTTTGTCTTCATTGGATTTCAGATCATAATTATTTACTTATCTTTCTTCTTTTTGGGCTAAAGGGGCAGTTCCTGATCTTGTAGGACCTGAAACTTACACAGTTCTAGAGGTCCTTTATAAGGAAAAAAATGACAACATTATAGATAACACACACACACACACGAATGTTTAGAATGAGAAAAGGAAGCATGACAAATTGCAAATCTAAAAAGCCATCAAATAAAACCACGAGATGCCACCTCACACCGGTGAGAATGGCTATAATTAACAAGACAGGAAACAACAAATGTTGGCGAGGATGCTGAGAAAGGGAAGCCCTCTTACACTGTTGGTGGGAATGCAAGCTGGGGCAGCTCCTTTGGAAAACGGTATAAAGGTTCCTCAAGAAGTTAAAAATAGAGCTACCCTTTGACCCAGCAATTGCACTATGGGGTATTTACCATAAAGATACAAATGTAGTGATCCAAAGGGGCACCTGCACCCCAATGTTAGTAGCAGCAATGTCCACAATAGCCAAACTGTGGAAAGAGCCAAGATGTCCATCCACAGATGAATGGATAAAGAAGATGTGGTATATGTATACAATGGAATATTACTTGGCCATCAGAAAGAATGAATACTTACCATTTACATTGACGTGGCTGAAACTGGAGGGGATTACACTGAGGGAAAAAGGTCAATCAGAGAAAGACAATTATCATATGGTTTCACTTATATGTGGAATATAAGAAAGAGTGCAGAGCATCATAGGGGAAGGGAGGGAAAACTGAATGGGACGTCATCAGTGAGGGAGAAAAACCGTGAGAGACTCTTAACTCTAGGAAACACTGAGGGTTGCTGGAGGGGAGGTAGGTGGGGGGATGGGGTAATGGGTGATGGGCATTAGGAGGGCATGTGATGTGATGAGCACTGGGTGTTATATGCAACTGATGAATCATTGAACACTACATCTGAAACTAATGAAGTACTCTATGTTGGCTAATTGAATTTAAATAAAAAATTAAAAAAATAGAAAGCTGTCAAACACCACAAACACCAAATATTTAAAAATATTTCCATTATTTAACAGCTTGACATTTCTTTAAGTTTTCTTATATTTTTTGACTGCATAGTCTTTGATTACTTCTTAATATGATAACCACTTTTGATATTTTCTATATAGAGAAGACAATTATAGTTAGTTTTTCTTACAGCATGTTTGTTTGCTCTTCACATGGTTTGGAGCTGGGCACTATGGTTTGTGTTGTGCTCCTCTTTCAGCTGGGCATCTTTGTTTCAGGACACCAAACAAGTCTGCTCAGAGGGTGGCAGCAGCATCCCTCAGGGCTATTCATGTACCAGGACAGTTCTCAGACATTTAACTGTACAAGGAAGTGACTGCAAACCACAAATAGTATCTCACTAAACCTAAATTTAAATTCCCATTAGCAGGATCCCAAAGATGCCTGTCATTATTCCCAGGCTGCCTGACATACAAGTGAGTTGGAGTGGAAGGAGACAGTGGTCTTAACCAAATGTAGTTAGAATATCTTATTTTGCAAATTTTACAAAAGCATATGACTATGTGAAAGAATCATTCAGGTTTCTCCCAAGGCTTTGGAAAGGACCCATAAGACAAGGGCCCTCACACTTAAGCTTCATCAGCTTAATGGTGAATTGACCTGTGGTCTCCTATCCCTGCTTTGCTCCTTTCTGAAATAACTCCTCTCAGAATAATCATCCTAGAATACAAATCAGATCATGATAGTCAATGCTTTAAATTCTTTAGAAACTTTCTTCTTTTTCCTTTTTATTTGCAAAATTTCAAACCCAAGAAAATTGAGCAGAATAGAACAGTGAACCCCAGAGATTATAAACACATACACACACACTCTCTCTCTCTTTTTTCATTTGGGAGGGAATTATAAAAATACGGGATTTCTTTTTTTTTCCTTCAATCCTAATTACTTAAGCATGTATTGTCTAAGACAGAGCCATTTTCCTATCAACCATAATCCAATCATCATTCAAGAAATGTGAGATACTATTATCTATTATACTATTATTTTTAAACATAATCCACATTCAGATTTTCTCAGTTGTTCCAAAGCTATTTTTTTTAATCCAGGATAAAATTAAGGACTACATACTGCATTTAATTGTTATGTGTCTCTAATGTCTCTCTGGTCTCTTTTAATCCATAACAATTCCCAAGCCTGTTTTTTTGTGTGTGTGTTTTGTTTTTAGTCTTTCATGACATTGACATTTTTAAAGAATCTAAGCCCATTATTTTGCATAATTCCTTTAGTTATGATAACTGTGGTTGCAAAATAGTGATTTTCTATCATTCCACCTACACTTATTCGTTGGTATTATTCTGTAAATAGAGCTTTCCTTTCTCTCTGCTCCCACATCTTTCTTTTAGAATCATTATAATTTGGGGTGCCTGGGTGGCTCAGTTGGTTAAGCGTCTGCCTTCGGCTCAGGTCATGATCCCACGGTCCTGGGATCAAGCCCCACATCGGGCTCCCTGCTCAGTGGGGAGTCTGCTTCTCCCTCTCCCTCTATTGTTCCCCCTGCTTGTGCTCTCTCGCTCTATCAAATAAATAAATAAAATCTTTTTAAAAAAAAGAATCATTATAATTCATGGATTCGTTTTTTAAATTCAATATTTTATAATCTGTTCTCATTATTCTTTCTGTTGCCCATATTACTCCAAATTTGCATGGAGGGAGTCTTTTCAAGCTAGTTCCAATTAATTTTTGAGTGCTTCCTAATTTTCTGGCATCAGATGTCCCAGGCTCACCTGGAATCAATCAATCATTTCTTCAAGGGAGCCCTGGTTCCATTTAGTGAGCAATGATATTTAGAAACCAAGATC